CTCCCCTGCCCAAAGGAACTCACACTTCTACCCCATTCTTTCCTCTGACCAATGAGAGAAGTACGATTCTACAAAATTCTATCTCCTTTTGTGGAACTTGCTCTCATCCCGGCTCTCTAGCCCAGACCTAGCAATTCATTCCTAATGCTTAGCAAAAACAGAGAGAATCTCTCACCCTCAGGCCAAAAGGATTTGCTGCCCATCACAACTCTGCCTCCTGACACCAGACCACCTTGCCTGTGTTACAGGAGTGCTCTATAAAAGAGATGTCTGTACATCTGTAAAGAGTTAATTGATAAAGTACCAGTAGATAGCACTCAGGAATACACAGCCACTTCCCAGGTCTTTTAGGTCCAAGATTCTTGTTGATGTGCATTGCCAATGGCTTCTTTGCATCATCTCTCAATAGCTTGTGAAACGGAACCAATTTAACAAATATTAATCTGTTCCAAGAAAGGGAAAGTGGCCCAACCACCCAAATAAAGGTATACCCTTTTTGCCAATACACCCATTTTCAAATGAGTCCCACAGCCCATCACAAGACGCCCCCATACAGCAAGCACTAATGAAACAAACGGAGCTTAATTTCCACTACAGTAAACAAACAACATTTTAGTTCAATATTCAGATTCTGCAATTGTAATAGGGCAGAATTTTTTTAAAAGATTGCTCCAGCAGTTCTGTAATATCTACATGTGTCTCAGAGATGGGGACGCATATATTAATGTAGCGTATTAAGTAGGGTGGGTCAGAAATTTTCCATCAAACCTGGTTTTGGACAGAAAATTGGGTTTTGACTAAATGAAATTCTTAATGTGAATTGTTTGGTTTCTATGGAAAATTTCAACTTTGTGTTGAAAAACCGAAGACCCAAAACCTCCAGTATGAAAATACAGTCATGGTGCCTCAGGCTCCCATTCTTCTCCATGAGCCAAGCTTCCCAGCTGAACTACACCTGCCCATCAGGCTCTGAGGGTGTGTGGGCTGTGAGATCAATGGAAGAAGAGTGTAATTACAGTCATTGGGTCAGATTCCAGCCTGTGCTCTGCCCCTTTACGTACTGCTCCAGGACCGTGTCCTCTGGACATTTTGGGCTGCAGAATAGTGCATTAGGAAGTCTGAGGAAGCTGCTAGTAGTCAGACCAGCCCCAAGACACTGTTCTAATTAGTGCTTGAATCTGAGAGCCACACAGGTAGGCTGAAGCCACTGTTGATCCCCTCTGCCTTCCCGTGTTGTCTCTCCTGAGAGTTGCAATACAGAATCTGGCCTAAGATTTATCCACCTCCTTTGAAAGCGTGAAGAAGCACTCTCATTGTGGAGTGTACATTTTGGAGGGGGAGGGGAGGAAAAAGGGGAATTGAAAGTGAAAAGAAAATACCATGGTTCTGAAGACCACAGTAACATCAGAGAAAGCCAGAAATTTTGCAGTAACCAACTAGGGGCAGAATTATTTAGTGTTTGAGAGTGCAGGTCTGGCACTCAGAAGATCTGGATTTTAGTCTGAACTACCACTAAAACATTGTGCAACCTGTGATAAGTCTCTCAACTCCTTTGTGATTTACTTCCTCACTCTATATTAAAGGGGAATCATAATGCTTACCCACTTTTGTAAAGTGCATCGACTTCCTCAGATGATGGGCACTGTGTCATCATTATTCTCAGGTTCTATATAATGATCTCTTAAAAATAAATGGGCCAAGGTATAGACATGCCAACAAGCCAGCAATGAGGGCAGCGGCATGTCCTCATATGTGTGACAAGGAAAAGAAAGCCTGCTATTGCAGGGTGGCATTCCACACGTCAGACCATCGGGCACTGTTGACTGCAAAGCACTAGTGGAGCAGACTCTTTCTTGTCGCAGACGGCATGATTAGCTCTTGCCACATTACAGGCCAAGTCTCTCTTCTGCCCTAGCTGACCCCCTCTCCTGTTCACAGTGCATCTCTGAGCTGGTACGCTAGTGTGCATCATCAGCACCCTTACATTACTCACAGAATGAGGACAGCAAAGCACCTCTTAAGGCGCAATTTGTGCATGGGAATGAACTCTTGGGACCATCTCCTGGGGAATCCTAGGAAGTTGCTCTCCTTTTCCCCCTTTCTTTTTTCTCCCCCTGTTCTGTGCACCATTGCGGGGATGGGGGAAGGGACAGAGACTAATCACCTGTGGGAGAAGCAAGGGGGAGAAAATTCAGTGAGCTTCAACTTGCAGCTTTCCATAGACCATTCCTTTGGGAGGGAGGGAGGATTTTTCCCTTTTGCGGGCTAGGACATGGATTTATGGGTTCCCAACTCGCTAGTATCTGCTAACTACAGGTAAGGGAGCTGCCTTCTGTTCTGATACAGCAGCCAGCCTGTAGGGATAGTTCAGGATCCTCTCCCCCTGGCAACACAGAACTGTACTGCTATTGATAGAGTCGCCAGGAGCAGAGGGGACCTGAAGGTGTGTGTCAGGGGTGTCATACAAGCTGTATTACTTCTCTCTCATTTATGCATGGAAACGCCTGGGCTTTGCAAGGGTTGGAGACTTGGAGCAGGGCACCTCCATTACTCCACACTTTTCCATCCTGCCCCCCCTTGAGATCTAGTGGCACAGGGCAGAAAAGGCAGGAAAATGATCCCATAGAAACAGCACACGCATCTGATTCCATGTAAGCAAGGGAAGATCCTAATGCAGTTGTCCTATTAATGCTCAGATCCTGTACTGGGGATTGCCTGGGCCTCAGTGTGTCAGTCACATGGGGTAGTTGCAACTTTAGCAAAATCTGGTGCATTTGTAAATGGACAGGTTTCACCCCGGAAAGCTCTGCTTCTTGGCAAAGTCAAACTGTCACAAACATGTGGACACTTGAGACTGAAAACTGATGCCTACCTACTGACCACACTTTCCTCTGGGAAGAGTTATTCTAGCCCCCATCTCAACTCAGCATCATATTGTCTGAAGGAAAATATATTCTTGAAAAAATCTTTGGGCCAGAGGCTTTCCTCCACTGACACTGGGAGAGAAGGAGAACACGAGCCAAATTACTGCACTCCTTGAGTCATACCAAAAATATACAACCTGAGCCAAGAGATACAGACGCAGTTCCCAAGTTCACAACTGGGGTTCTTAGTGTGTCTAAAAAAGTTTGATGTCCATCAGTTTTCATTAATAACTATTTAAAAATCCTACTGTGATCTCAGGGAAACTCTTAACATATTAGCTTCTGAACTATCACAGAGAACTTTGTTTTTGTTCTTAGATGCAACAAAACGTGCAAACATAAATTTTGGCATGGATCATTAACTTTTCTCTGTTGCTCTTTTGTTTAATGTAAAAAGCCAATGTATGAGTAATGGCTCCAAGATGTCCAAATGCAACATAACTTCGCCCTCAAACTGTAAAAGAGTACGATGTAAAGAGATTTTAAAATGTGAAGTGTGAGCTTCTGTATGGTTTCTCAATTCAAAAACAAAACACAAGAGGTAAAGAGATTTGTAATGTCTGGCTTGTATGGAATTTAGACTCTAAGCAAACAGTGTGGATTTGGAGAACCAGCCACATTTAAGAAATTACAGGAGTCAATCTGTGGTTTAGAAATTAAAGAGCAAATTCTCCACTTTAATCCACATGGTGGGATTTGATTCGCATCAGAGATGCACATTACAGCTGCAAGCAAAATGTACCATAGAGAAACATGCATGAAGATAAAAGATCTTCCACCACATTGTGGATTAGAGAAATAAATGTGCCCTAATATTTTAAGAATAAGAAATTGACAATTTAGGAAACTCACATCTGAAATAGTAATCTCCACTATAGCAGCAAGTTGATACCTGTAACACTAAGTTTGGGGAAGAACAAATTTGTGGTACTCTTTGGTCTAATTAAACAACAACAAGTTAACTGGATCTCCTTAGATATTACTGCACCTGTAGTTGAAAAAGTGGTGCTTTAACTGGCCAAAAAACTACTTTCATTGTATTTTACAGAAAAGTGAACTTTTTAAAATGTGTAATCTTTCTCAAAAGAGGCGTGGTAAATAGACCACGGTCCTAATTCATACTTTAGCCCAATATCCTTTATAAAGCAGTTTAAATATGTCTGGCACCAAATCAAGCTTTGAAGTGCCTCCACCATTTTGGAGAAAAAGTCTTAAACATTGTTCTTCTCCAAAGGGTGGATAGGCACTGAGTATCAAATGAAACTAAAAATCAGCAGGCATTCGATTCCCTGAAAGAGGCTGTCTGACATCACACAGCAGATCAGAAATAAATAAAATGACCCCTTTAGGTATGATGATAAATCCACTACAATGCTGTGACAGTGACAGACTCTACCATGACAATGTCAGTGTATTCTGTTGGGAAAGTAAAATTCAGTTACCTTCAATGATACATTTATCAGATCATGTCAATCAACAGTACTAAAACAATGGATGTCAAAACAAAACGTATTAAAACAGTATGTTTTATAAAAACTGATGGAAAAATGCCCCACAATTATAGTTACGTACAACCAAGTCCAGCTCTCCAGGGTCCACTAAGTTAACACCTTTAAGCACACAAAGCAGTTATTAGAGGTCTTAATAAGGTGACTAGTGGAACCCAGCCGAGTCACAGGGGAATTACACCCTCAGAAATCTATCTAGTATGATCGCAAACCTATCTGTGAATGCTAATACTGTGTAGCCCCAAAAAGGCAGAGTCAGTTCCGAAGCTCTTCACCGCTGTAATTCTCCAGCCTTTTACAGGACATGCTATTTAACGTGGAGTTTTCTAAATAGAAAAAGGAACACACGTAACCAATATGAAGCACTTAGGTTTAGAAGCACTTATGGAAGAGTCCATGAGTGCAAATATTTACAGTACATTGTATCTGGAGTGTACATATGTTATTTAGTGAAAGATAAATTTTTCCTGCCCATCGTTATATTGCATATTTTATAGTTCATAAGAATTCTGTAAGTTAACAAGCAAGAGTCTCCTCCCTGAGAAACGTGCTTCTCATATTTTTGCAGACACTCCCATTCCCTCAATCGGCTACAGCAAGGCATGGACAATGCTAAGACAACGGTGTCAAATCCCAATGATGACAGTAAAAAACAGTTCTTCCCTTTGTGGAACTTGTCTGCTCCATTACAATTGCAGCTGTCAGTTGGCATCCATGCACTCTTGCCTGGTAAGTAGATGTTTTCCACCTGGGCTGCCTGTCTGCACGTGTAGATCTTCCACTGTCTGCAGCAAAGCTTTCCTCTCCAGCTCTAGAGTGAGAATGGATTGCTTCAATTTGCACTCGTTGTTCAGTAAAATTTCTACTGTAGCTTCTAAGTTTTGGATCTTTCCATTTGCCACCTGAAGTGGGAAAAGAAAACAAGAATTTCCTAAAAACTGTGAAACGAGTGGACCTTACAGACAGAGTTCTCCTCAGTCCTTCAGGCTTTTAAAAGGTCCTACTGAGATAGGTCATATTTACAGTAGATTTTCCAGTTATGTAGAAAACACACACTGAATTAAAGTGTAAGTACTGCTACTTCCACAAGCTTAGTATTACTTATAAATAGCATTGTCTACAGACAACAATCCATTTTCTCTCTCTCTCTCTCTCTCTCTTTCTAATCTTTACTGTTTAGGCACTAGTGTGATTAAACCTAGAATATAATACAGAGCAGAGAAGATTAAAAGTTAAATCTACAAATAATTAGCTAATAGATCTATTTAATTAAGAATAGCATCACTATTAATCCAGGGCTCTACTCACTACAAAATTACACTCCATAGATATCAAGGTGCAGAAACATCATGACTCAGAAGGAAAAAATGTGTCTGCGAACGACTGAGGAACAATCCTTCCACTATGTTTCCCGTGCCTAGAGGTTACATTTTACCAAGCTGAGTAGGATTTGAATAAGCATCCAAAGGCCTGTATTCCATCTTACCTACTGTGTCATCTAGCTTCCAAGTTTTTGTTTTTGATCCAAGAGGCTTGAAAATCTAAATATATAGCCCATCTCTTACCCCCATATTCCCTTCTAACTACCCATGTACTCAGAAGTTGTATTAAAATGTTTCTTTGCAGATCAGACAGAAAGAAGGAGCCATGAGGAGTTCAGAGTGGATCAGCTCCTTCAGAGACCAAGCATACCATCTCTGAAGAGCTGCCTTGTCTCTCTCGTCCCACAGAGGGCAAGTTTTGAAGCAGCCATCGACAACTGCAGATTGAATGGACTGAGGTCAGACATGGACATCAAGATGTACTATTTCACGTGTTTCTAATCATCCTGGATCATGGGTTCTCAAACTTTCTCATAACAAGGATCATCTCTTACTAGAGAATGTGTCTCATAGACATCTCTCCCATTTGTGACTGCCTGACTACAGCAATTGCTTAAATGCGAAAATAATGTTAAGACTGCATGAATGTATCTTTAGCTGTCTTCTCCAGCTGCTAAACTTCATTAACTGAAATGAGCCAGCATCATGTGACTCCAGCCAGCTTTCCTCAGGCCACCAGAAAGCCCTACATTCGGGAACCTCTGCTTCAGACAAACTTAAAAGGTTTTAAATACTGGTAAGTCCATCTGGTACCAACTGTAAATAATAAATACTGAAGACAGTGATTTCAGTTATGCCTTAACCTGGATCAAATCTGGCCCGTGTCTCCTCTATACAATGGTCTCTTCTGAAAATATGAACAAACAATGGTGTCAATGGCTCGTTAGATGGAAATATAAACTGTACCTGCAACTCCTCCAGTAGATCAAAGTTCTGTTTTCTCAAACTAGTGTTTGCCTTCTCCAACTTATCCATTCTCTGATTGTCATTGAGAGACGAATCTATCAACTCATCCTGAAGCACATGGTATTCAACTTCGTAAGCTTGCAACTGCTTGGCGATATCCATTTCAAACACCTGTTATATACATAATGGTATTAGATGCTATGAAGATCAAGAGAATCAAATGCATAAAAATTATGTTGGTTTATTTTTATGGTGTAGAGTACTTTTTTAGCTTATGTCCCATAGTCTTGAGGCAGTGATGTCCAATGGGTAGAGGACATGCACAGGAGTCAGACATGAGTTCATTTCAAATTCTGACATTAATTTATTGTATGACTTTGAGAGGTCACTTTTACCAAAGTTTTCAAAAAGTGGCCACCATTTTAGGTGTTTCCATTTTTAGGTATCAAACTTAAGTCAGGTTGGGCATCCAAAAATGGAGGTATCCAAATTTGGGTGTCACTTTTGAAAACTGTAGCTCAAACCCCTTTATGTCTCAGCCACCACACATGTAAAATGTGGATAATACCTATCTACCTTTGTATAGCACAGCAAAAGCTTCACATGAAAAGTACTGTGTGTGCAGCTACTTCACCTATTTCTGACCTTGTTATATAATAACATTTTTAGTGTCTGAAAAAATATTAAAATTCTATCATTACTTCAAAGGATTTCATAGAGGAAACATTAAACCATGTTGGAGCAGAATTCTATTTTTAATCACTAGCTGTTAATCATTGACAGTATCTTCAGTCCTTATCAAGACAAATATTGAGCCACACCCTGCTAAAGAGACCTTATACTTTAAAGGCAGACAAATAAAGCAAAGTACATTGAGAGAGAGCCAGAGCAAAGAAATACTATAATGTTCTCCCCTCTGCTTGTGGTCTTAGTATATCCGCTTTCCAATTTTCCAGGAAAGCTAAGTGGTAGACTGTATTACTCTAAGGTCCCTGATCTACCTCACTGAATGCAATGAAAAGATGAAATGAGAATGACACAAATGTCAAATCATAGAAACAAATGGAAAACTAAACTTGAGTCACTCAATAAAGATACAATAGGAAAATACCCAAAGTACTGAAGTTATTCAGTTGTTCCTTATTTTAACTTCTTGTGTCAGATTTCTCTTAGAAAGGAGTCAAAAGTCAATTCCCATCTGAGATACACATTGAAGTAATGAGAAATATTGCCTGTTTCCCTCCTTTGCTTTGGGATACAAGGGGTAAAGTTTTCATTGCTACAGGAGGAACATAATTTAAGAAGGTATCAGCTGAATAAAATGACTGTAACAACCTTAGAATTCATATTACCTGTTTATTACTCACACTATAAAAATGATCCCTAATAGTTTTATTGCAGCATGAGTGTAAATATTTGGGCTTCTGAACATTAAAGACTGGATCTCAAACATAGTTTAGGTACAAGTAAATCACAGAATCATAGAAACATAGGATTAGAGGGAACCTCAAGAAACAGGACCAAGAATACATAGATTATCCCTGACACCATCTTCTTTACAGCAGCCCTTAACATATTTGAAGATTGTTATAGGTCCCCCCCTAGTGTTCTTTCCCCAAGACTAAACAAACCCAGGGTTTTTTTAAAATTTACAGGTCAGATTTTCTAAAACTTTTAACATTTTTGCTGCTCTCCTCTGGACTCTCTCCAATTTGTCCACATATTTCCTAAAGTGTGGCACCCAGAACTGGACACAGTGCTCCAGCTGAGGCCACACCAGTGCTGAGTGGAGCAGGACAAGTACCTCCCGTGTCTTACATATGACACTCCTGTTAACATACCTCAGAATTATATTAGCCTTTTTAGAAGCTGCATCACACTGTTGACTCATATTCAATTTGTGACTGTGACAGGTTTCAATCGGTTCACCGAGCCTCTAGGGGGCGATGGAGAGCTACTGTCCCACTGGCCGGCCTTAGTCACACCTTTCGGACACCGGGGAATTAGCGGAGAAGGTGTGCCGGCCAGAGTCTGCAGCGCGCCCCTCAGGCAGGGGAGCGCCGGCCAGAGTCTGCAGCGCGCCCCTCAGGCAGGGGGCACCAGCACGAGTCTGCAGCGCGCCCCTCGAGCAGGGGAGCGCCGGCACGGGTTTGTAGCGCGCCTCTCAGGCAGGGGAGCGCTGGTACGAGTCTGCAGCGTGCCCCTCGGGCAGGGGAGCGCCGGCACGGGTTTGTAGCGCACAGTTCTGCTACCCGAGGTGGGTTGGCCGGGGTAGGGGAACGCAGGCCCACCCAACTCCACTGCGTTCCAGCCCAGGGCCCTGACAGTGGCGGGAGGAGAGGGTCCCGCCGCTAGGTCAGCGGGGAACCATCCGCGCCCCGCTGACCAAATACACCCACCACACTGTGCAGTTCTGCCCCTGGGCTACTTCCTACCCGGTCTCTCAAGCGGGCCTCTCCGGTCCCCCAGCTCGTCCGGGTATTCAGCTGCTGGCAGCTCCAGCTCTCTCTCTGTGTCAGGCTCATGCTGGCCCGGGTTACAGCCTGGCCCCTCCAGGTCCCCCGGGTACTCAGCGGCTGGCAGTCCTGGTCGCTTCAGTCCTTCCTCCAGGTCAGGTTCCTCCTGGCCCAGGGCCTCCCCTGGGTCGGCAGCAGGGTCTGGAGGGAACAGCCAGCTGCCTGTGTCTGTCTCCCTCCCTGGTGCTGCCCTCACTGGGCAAAGGGCCCCGCCCTCTGTACTTCCTGTTCCACCCCTCACCTTCCGGGGATTGGAGTAAGCGTGGTCTGGCCCTGCCCACGCAGGCAGAGAGGGTGGCTCTTTACCCTCTGGTTCGGAGGGAGGCCACCCTGGCTCCCTACATACCCCACCCCTCAAATCCAGCTCCCGACCATTGGAGCTGGTATCCTCACCCTCTCTGAGGCGGGATAGAAAGTCCGCATTGGCGTTGTCCCGTCCCTTCCCTCGATGGTGAATCATGAAGGCATAGGGCTGCAGAGCTAGATACCACCGCATCATTCTGGCATTATTGTCCTTCATCTTATTAAGCCACTTCAGGGGTGCATGGTCCGTAACTAGTATAAAGGGGGCTCCAAGGACGTAGTAGCGGAGGGCATCGACCGCCCACTTAACCACTAGGGCCTCTTTCTCCACAACAGAGTAGTTCCGTTCTCTGGGGAACAGCTTCCGACTGAGGTAAACAATATGGTGTTCCTCCCCGTCCACCTCCTGTGAGAGGACTGCCCCAAACCCTACTCCTGAGGCATCCATCTGAACAATGAAGTCACGCTGAAAGTCAGGGCTGAAGAATACTGGATCGCTACACAGTCGTTCTTTGATAGTTCGAAAGGCCGTCTCGCATTCATCGGACCAATGCACCTGGCGGGGGCTGTCCTTGGTCAAGAGCTCCGTCAGCGGGGCTGTAACGTTTGCGAAGTGGGGTACAAACTGCCAGTAATAACCAGCTAAGCCCAAGAATTGACGTACCTGCCTCTTTGTGGTCGGCACATATTCCTGGAGTCCTTGGACTTTCCCGATGAGGGGGCGGACCTGTCCTTGGCCCAAGGTGTATCCCAGGTAAGTGGTTTCCTCCCGCCCGATTCGGCATTTTTTTGGATTGGCCGTAAGCCCGGCTGCGCGGCGGTCCCAGAGGACTGCCGCTACTTGGTTAAGATGTTCCTCCCAGTTATTGCCATAGATGACCACATTGTCCAAGTAGGCCGCAGCGTACTTTGTGTGTGGTTGCAACACCCGGTCTGTCAAACGCTGGAAGGTCGCCGGGGCCCCACGGAGGCCGAAAGGCATCCGGGTGAAATGGTACAACCCTGAAGGGGTGGCAAACGCTGTTTTCTCCTTGGACCTGGGATCCAAGGGGATCTGCCAGTACCACTTTGTGAGATCTAAAGTGGTGATATAACAGGCCTCCCTGAGCTGGTTGAGGAGCTCATCGATGCGGGGCATCGGATAGGCGTCAAATTTTGAAATGGCATTTACCCTCCGGAAGTCAATGCAAAACTGCCGGCTCCCATCCGGCTTTTGTACGAGGAAGACGGGGCTCCGCCACTCGCTCTGGGAGCGCTCAATAACACCCAGATCCAACATTGCCTGGACTTCCTCTTCTACGACCTCCCGCATTTGCCTAGGCAATGGCCGGGTTGTCTCTCGGACCACCACTCCGGGTTCAGTCTGGATCACATGACAGGTGAGCGTAGTCCACCCGGGTTTCATGGTGAACGTCTTGGGGAATGCCCTTACTAAGCAGAGGGCCTGTTCTTGCTGCTCGACTGTGAGTGTCTCGGCTAGCTGGGGCTCACCATTATCCGACTCCTCGGGCGGTTGGGGCCCCAGGTCTGGTTTGCGGGGGTACGGGGCAACTAGTAGTCCTTCCCGTTCCTACCAGGGTTTTAAGAGATTTACATGATAAATCTGTTTTTCCTTACGGCGACCAGGTTGCTGAATTTCGTAGGTGACAGGCCCTACCCAGCGGAGGACCTCATACGGACCCTGCCAGCGGGCAAAAAGCTTTGATTCCTCCGAGGGGAGCAGGAGGAGTACTCGGTCTTCTGGCCCAAATGATCGAGCCTAGGCACCCTGATTGTAGTGCTGCGCCTGGGCTCTTTGGGCTGCATTTAAGTTCTCCTTCGCAAGCTCGCCTGCCCGCGCCAGCCACCCCTGCAGCTGTAAGACGTATTGTAAGAGACCCTGCGTTGCGGATGAGTTGTGTTCCCAAGTCTCCCTCAAGAGGTCCAACACCCTGCAGGGTTGCCGCCCATAGAGGAGCTCAAAACGGGGAGAACTTCGTGGACGCCTGTGGGACTTCTTGAATTGCCAGTAGTAAAGGAGGGAGCAGCTGGTCCCACTGGCGGAGGTCTTGGGTGGGGAAACGCTGCAACATTCTCTTCAGGGTCCGGTTAAAACGTTCGACCAATCCATCCGCCTGGGGATGGTAGACCGAGGTCTGCAGTTTCTTAATCCCCAACAGGGCACATACCTGACAGAACAGCTTAGG